TTCACTGCAACATGGATTTGAATCCCAGCCTTTTCTAATGCATGGGCTGTTTTGATATAAGTGGTCCATTCTCAGGGATTCACTTCCAGTTCTTCTCCTAAGAATATTGTTAAGGTTAAACCTTTTCTAGTTCGTTTTAAATGTGTACTTTTATTTTTTTGACTGCTGTTCAGATTTTCAAGCTGTGGGATATTTTGCTTCTATTGCTGGATGAGGAGGGCTGGGTGTTTTCTCTAGCTATCTCTTTGATCAGGGCTCTCCAACTGTTTGGACCCACAAGTACATTTATGAATTTGAGAAGGTGTTGGAGGCACCACCACAAAAGCCTAATTGATGGATTGCTAATTTTGTGTCTACCTATCGTGTCTATGCATCTTGGGAGGCATTCAGCAAAACCTTGGGTTTCATGCCTATTGTGCATTAGAATGTCTCTTTAGTAAGGGGTTCTCTAATTTAGCTAATTGCTGGTGTTGCAATGCAATTAATATTTCTTTTAAATGTTTGTTTTAGTAATGTCCAATAGTTGCTTCTTTTCAGGAGGAGGCTGTTACACAGATAAGATTTGCACTAGAATAATCTTTAATATTCATTGATGTATACACACTTAAATTATGTATGGAAGTTAATGAATGGAAATGCAAATCAATTCTTTGCAGAATTTTGACAATTGTCAAAAGACAAAACTGGAAGGAAAAACATAATCTCCTTCCGTAGTGCAAAGGACTGAGGATCTTAGAGAGCTCTTATGTATGAATGCGTGGCATATCCATCTCAAGTGGATGTTTATTTGAGTCTGCTTTTTGTTGAAGCTTATGTATGATTGCTAAAAAGTTGTGTGCATTTCATACCAATCCATGTATATTAAAAAATAGGGAAAATCTTTTTTCTGGCGTCCCAGAAAAGGGGGCTCTTTTGCATATACCATCGGAGATGCCAGTGGGTGTCACACTGGGGACCTGTCTTTAAGAGTCTAAGAGACTGTAACACAATCAGCATGCAGAAATGAGGGATGTGTCAACTAGGTATAAAGGGGTGTGATTTAAAACAGAGAGGTGGCAGGCAAGGAAGGGTACTGGACTCCCCTTTCTCCACCTGCATTTTCTTCTTTCAATTGCAGCTCCCAGCTTCCTCTCTCCCAGTGATGCTTGCTTCACGTCCCAGAGAAGGCAGGAAGCAAAAGATCTAGGAGGGGAAGATTTCAAGGGAGTCAGTGCATTTGAAGGAGGGTTCAGCAGTTCCACCCTCCTGAAAGTATCTGTGCAGTAGTTACTGATCTTGATAGAAAATACAGGCTGCCACAAACATATTTACTTAGATAATGATTAGGCAACTTCTGGCCTCCGGCTCTACTAGGTTCATGAGCTAATTTCATGCAGCCCTGAACTGCATTTCAAAGGTGCTCCTTGTGCAATCAGTGCAAGCCACTGGTGAGAGAAACCTGCCTGTCATGGCAACCTATTGCATGGGAAGAAAGAGAGGCAGGTTTGTGGGGGGGGGGGGCAGGGACTGGCAGAAAGAGAGAAAAGAAGTGGGGCGTGAGCCACCCACTTTCGGCTCTGGTCCTGCTCACCACTGGCATGGCTGGAGACAAGGGTAGGTATGGCTGGGCACCTGCATCTACTCCTTATCCAACCTCTTCTCTCTTCTTTTAAAAACCTTCAGAATCAACCCATATTTCCCCTTTTAGTTTCCCTCCCAATCCAACCGCTCCTCCATCCTTTCATGTTTAATTCAATAGAGGCCCGCTTACAAGAACGCTCTGGGGTTCCTCTTCGTTGCCACTGCAATCTGCCTCCCTCTCACTTTGGCTCATGGAGGGGAGCAGGAGGGGCAGTAGATGCTGCTCCTTTCTTGCTCACTGACTTTCCACCTGTCCAGAAAGCAAGCATTAGCAATGATGAGAAAGAGGCTGAGGAGGAGCAAGACCAGCCAGTGACAGTGAGGGTAAGTAGGTCAACTCAGTGAGGTGGAGGCAGGCACTGAAGTTGCCTTAGTCAAGGGCCCTTCAAAAACTGGAACTGGCATTCCTTAGTGATTGGCATATGGTGCCTGACAGATTATCCATGCAGCCCCATCACAAAGCAGGTTGCCCACCTGTGAATAAGACCATTTTTGGTGGCACAAGCAGTAGGAGTGGCTACTTTGGCAATGAATGAGATAATCAGATAGGAAGATATCAAAGCTGGTCCAAAACATTTTAATTTCTGAGGTATAAAGTCTAAATGCCTATTATATTCCCGCTCCCCAATATAGTAGACATTTTAATAATGAATTCGGTGACAAGTAATTTGTTGTCTTTTGAGAAGGATCTGAAGTCTGTTACCTACAAGTTTGAAATAGCTGCTGCATTCTTCCTAGTAGTCGGGCTGAGTAAGCAAGGGATGAGATACCTTGGAAATATTCTGAAAGGCCAGTTTGTGTCTCCTTAAGATACGAACAGGTAAGAGACAGATTTCACTATTGCTGGGTGTGTAGTAGTTGGAAGAAAGCACTTTGAACAGGTCTTCCACTGGCTAGTTTGAGCAGAGTGATAACATAGACTCAGAGGTTGAGTGTAGGTTGTCACTGAACCATAGGTAGTTGTTGGTTATCTGCAGTTTGTTTGTGATTCAGTGCAAGCAGAGCCGAAGGGCAGCATTTGTCCCTGAGCACAGATCTTAGGGTTCCTTTTAACAAGCACATATGCCATTAGGCTGACAAAGAAATCTTTGAAAGTTTGAATGCTCTTAAGAAAGGACTGGTCAGTGGAGTGGAATTCGAGCCATGTTGATCTAGTAGTAGCCTTTCTTTTCATATGCAGACTATGAAAAAGCCCTCATAATGGTCTCCCACTATATCTCTCTGCTGTTGCTACTTTCTCATTGAGCTATCTGGGACTGGGACAAAGTGTGTTGCAGTATTTGTATCATCTTTTGTTTGCCTTCTCTGGGGCCTTCACATGCCTGTGTGTGTGTGTGTGTAACTTGGAGGGCTCACAGTGATAAGATAATCCAGTTTGGGCTGTAAATAGTTGGGGAGGGGGCAATCTCCCCAACATGGTACAATGGCATTGAGGTCATAATCCAGCCTGCTACTCTTTTCTTGGATACCTCTCTAATGTACCCTTGTTGTACAACTGATAGAATCAGGAGCAAAACAACCAGCCAAAAGAATTGCTGATCGTTTCTTCCTTTCACAATTTGTAATCCCTTTCTTGGGGGCTGATGAAACTGCCAGATGACCACAGGATTGAATTTCTCAAGAAGATCACCCATGATGATAGAGCAGTCTTTCCCAACCTGGTGTCTTCCAGAGATGTTGGACTTCAATACCCTTTGCTGGCTGCTATGGATGCTGGGAGTTGTAGTCCACCACATTTGCAAGATAGTAGTTTAGCGAAAGCTGCTTTAAAGAGTAGCAGCTCAACTCACATCCAGCAGATGACCTCATGGCACTTTCCCCATGGCCAGCCTCAGGTTGTTTGTTTGTCTGTTGCCTCACTTGGTACCAGGCACAATAGATGGGGAAAATAAGCACCCAGGTGTTAACTACTTTGAAACACATCAAGAGACAATGCCTCCCTTTTATGTTATCCTGGCCTCTCCTTATCTTTAGGGAAATTCCAGGCAGGTTAGGCATTAACTAGGCCTCACCATTTCTTATCTTACTTAAGTCTGCCAAGGCAAAATGAGAACATTTCATCAGCTTATGTCCTTCCTGCAATCATCTGCCACAGGCAACATCTTGGCAGCTTCAGATGAAGCTGGGAAGGCAAGACTTACAGAATCCTTCTGACCCTGCAGCATTATTGGTAATTTTCCACTAATGACTGGGAGCTTCCCACTTTCCATATACCCTGTGTCTTGGAGTGAATGCCAAAACAGACATGACTTAAATGTGCGTCTGGAAGCTATCCTTTAAATTTTTACTCTAGAG